ATCTCATTCCATCTTAAATCTGCACACACAAAGCTTTCTCTTCTGCTTCCTTCAGTCCTCAGGAGGACACAGTGCTGTGATGTTGTCAGTTGTTTCCTGTGAGAGACTGAACAGAACAGAGCGGCAGGGACCTGCAGCACAAGTCTGACAGACTCCACAGTCCAGCGAGTATCGGTGCTGAAAAGCTGCCGACCACACAGAATCCCAGCCTCCGTCTCTCCTCAGCAGAAAAATAAAGTTGAGCATTTTCCTCCTGACAAAGTGACAGTGGCAGCTTTAATCTATCCTCCGTCCAAAAGGAGATAACTCCCCGAGGCCATCGATCCGCTAAAGATTTCTGACGCCCGTCCATGATTGTCTTTGTCCCGCTCTGTCTCCACCGAGACTCTGAAGTGCTGATGAAAAGGTTCAGGCTTTCCTCCGATTGCTTATTAAGAACGCTGATTTGCTTTCACCGGATTTCTCTCTGTTGCTTGTCGTTTTACTTTTTACACCGTGATCTCTTGTTCCTCCACAGAGGAGCTCTCACTCATTCTTGTCACCCCTTTGCTTTCTCATCAATGACAGGTTCACATTCCTCTAATTACTTATTAAGAATGTTCATTTGTTTCCACCAGCTTTCCCCTGACCTGTGCCCTCTAGACGTCTCACAACTCAAATAACTTCTTTTGCTTTCCTCACTTTCTTTTACATCTCTTACTCCTTCATGCTTTCCCCTCTGTCGTGCTCCTGCCCTCTCCCTGAATGTGACCTCTGTGTCCACTGGGGGGGAGGCTGCACGATGACAGTATGACAACAGCTGCATCCAGAAAGCCCTAACTGCAGCGTGGCTCACTCTGTCACTACATCAGTATGTCATTCTCATTAGCAGCTGCTCGAGCTTCTCCTGCATTTACACTGATGAATGCTTTGGGCATTTCGCTGATGCTCTCATCCACAACAAGCTCAAAACAACAAACACTTTTCTCAGTGGCAGCCAATAAATAATGTGTTTGTTGTTTTTCCTCATTTTCTCAGTCTTCTGCAACCCATCCTGGATTACCTTCACCAGGTAAGAGCTTCTAAACATCAGGCAACTCACTCCGAACACCTTTGCTCTTATTTATGCTAACGCAAAAAGCTGTGTGGGCATTTTGGTCGGACCTGGAGAAAACGCAAGCGAGGGAAGAGAACAGGCGCACTGGTTAAGTTAGGACAAAGAGGGACCCAGATGCTGCTACCATCTATCCATCTAGTGAATCTCCGCTCTCTAGCCGACAAAATGGATGAGCTCCTTCTCATCAATCAGACTAACTGAGTTCTCATGCTCTACACTTCACAGAGACTTGGCTCAGCGACTCCATCTCGGACAGCACAATACAAGTCCCAGGCTTCCAGGTACACAGAGCGTATTGCATAACAGAGTTTTCCAGGAAAATGAGAGGAGGCGGAATTTTGTTTCTACATAAATGAAGGTTGGTGTCAAGATGTCGCTCACGACTTAGAGACTGTCTTCATCAACTGCAAACCATTTTATTCTTCTGGAGAATTTTTGTCTTTCTTTCTGATCAGAATGTTCATAAGACCGCAGGCCCACGCTAGTGCACTACAGCACCTGGCCAAACAAACAGCTAGCACGGAGCTAGCATCTCGACTCTCCACTCATTGTCCTAGGGGACTTTAACAGAGCAAATCTCACCCACAAACTGCCCAAATACAGACAGCACGTCACCTGTACCACCAGGGACAAAAACACACTGGACCACTGCTACACCACAATAAAAGATGACTATCGCTCTGTCCCCTGTGCAGCCCTCGGTCTCTCTGATCACTGCATGGTCCATCTCATCCCAACCTATAGGCAGAAACTTAAAGCTGTGAAAAGCTGTGAAGCCTGTGGTGAAAACAGGGCCGAGCAGGCAAAGTCAGAGCTCCAGGCCTGTTCTGACTGTACAGATGTGGGACAGGATCCTGTACAGCCAGGCCAGGAACACACTGACAAGGGAGATCAAGGTAGGGAAGAGGAGCGACTCTGAAAGGCTGAGAAACCAGGTTTCAGCCAACGAGCCCTCGTCTGAGTAGGGAAACCTGAAAAGCATCACTGGCTACACCCCCCTGGGTGTGGAAGACCATCAACTGGAAGACGACCTGAAGGTGTTTTGCTGTGGGTTTGAGAAGCAGAACTCCCCCCTCAGCCCCCCACCTCAGACCCAGCAGCCGCTCCCCCCTTCATCCAGCTGTAGTGACATCCCTTTATTGTGTATTATACGTTTTTTTTTATTAATGTATTGACTGCTAGGCACAGAACAGTCACTGATCTACCATGAATTCTGTTTTTAGGTATTCTGGTTTGAGTTCAACATAATCTTAATGTATTATGTGTTGCATTGTTTTGTTTGTGTGTTGAATTTAATCTGTTATGTGACGCACTTTGAGGCAAATGTAATCACTCACAGACAGATACCGTGTGTCTTTAATATTTACCTCTATGTTTATTGTAAGTGAAACCAGGTGCTATGCTGCTGTAAGTTGAGAAGAGATTCACAAAAGCTAAACAGTTTTACTCTGGCTTGTGTTGTGGTGAGCTCACAAAGAATATGTCTAAATTGTTTAATACCAACAGTGAATGCCGTGCACATTAAAAGGAATCCATGCTGCCTCGTGGATCACTGGCTCATCACCAAGACAGTCACCCTGTATCATTCACTTCCAACAGTCTTCCATCCTCTCTACTGATTCAGCAG